CCCTTATCACTAACGGAAAGTCTTATGGTTTTCAACCTTATCAGGTCTCGTACCTCTCGCATACCACGTTTTTGCACTGGGGTGAGGTTGGAGCTGTATCTTTTCGCGCGATAGTGATTAAGGAGTTTGAGAGTTTCATTCGCAAACATCCGAAATTTAACATCAACTTCATTATTGGGCTCTTGCTGTCTAAAGAACGTTGGGGGAAATGGTGCTATTGGTAGGGCCCCCACTCGACGTTGTTCGCACCTATTTAGCGCTTCATCTCTAGCTTTTTTGCGGAGTCTATCTTGAAGTTCATGTAAACCACATGCGACCCTATGCAAGGTTATCTTAGAAATGGGTTCAGATGGTGAGAAACTCGGCCCCAATTCTAATAACGAGCGCGCACCGTCAGGGAGAGTTATGCCTCCTAACACGGTTAGCCTTGAATTTTCTTGCACATTACCTATCCTAACGTGATCTGTTTGATGTTCTTGATGTGATCTCAACAAAAATACGAACAAAATCACTTGATCAATGCCGAGGTTAATAGAAAGTCGGTCGTGGCAGTTTCTATACACAGTTAATCAGCAAAAATGAAAATGGAGCAAAGCATAAAATCGTGGTGTAACTGGTCGCGCAAAAGACGAGGGAAGTAGGTAAATACTGCAAAGAGTATTACATAAAAGAAGACTGACAGATATTAATGAGAGGCAATTATGGTATGAACAAAGATCTATTTTGCATTTCTGAATGATTTGTTAAAAGTTTTTCCACAAATAACACAAATAGCATGTATTTCTGGCAATTTGCGCACAGTTTGTGGGCCTATCATTCCTTTTCACTCCAATGTGGCTGCTGTGCTTTCTGTGCTTATCGATTTTTCGCGAACGAAGAGTGCACTGCGCGGAGCATCGTTGTTCATAAAGAGAAGCACACTTACCTCATTGTTTGCGCTGAGCTTTTTCTCGTAGTGGACGGAGGAACACCCAATGTTTGCACTAAGCTCTAATTAGACCGTACCAACCAACCACAAGCTCACAATAATATTTAAATATCGCTCTCATGATCTGGAGGGCTTTAACTTGGCTCAAAAATCTGGCACAACAATTTTTCTTCAGACTTCCTTTTCTAGCAAGTAAGACAGAAAATTTTAAAACCTTTGATGAAAATTTATTGTTTGTTCGTTTGTGAAACGAATAATCGAATCTTTGGGTGCTAGAGGAATGTAAAGATTGATTGCTCACGTATCACTGCTGCTTCGACGACTGAGCTGGTTGTAAACTGATGGAAAGAAAACCTTGGATTAGATGAAGAGCTGACGAAAATTCTATTACCGTACTCTTCGAAGTGCATATTTAAAGGACAAATACAGGAAAAATGTCTGCTTAGTGTTGCATAATATGTTCAACATTATAAAGTGTCATGAAAGTGATTCAGTGTCTCTTTTTTCTATACAATTACATTAGGCGACTTGTTAATGCTGTTAATGCTTCTACCCGACGTACAAATCTGGACCCAATTTGCCGACCCTGGAGAGATGGGGGTTTGGTTATATGAGGGCGACGGATTGAACCAGAGACCATGTGCATCACATGAGACTTCTAATCACTGCGCTGCATGTTTCATTAATATACACTGTGGAACCGCAACAAATGCATAGTTCAAGTAGGGAACAAGCAGTTGTTCATTTGATGAAATCATGCGAAACATTTTAGAAATGATTCCTAGTGCCTCGTAACGTTGCTCTACTCTATCTAGTCTGGAATATGTTATTTCGATTTGTTCATTAACGTTTTTCCTCCTATTGAAATATTGAGGGAATCTACTCATAACTTAGAAACAAAACAGGGTATGAAGTTGCAGCATAGAGAACAAAAAGTCGAAATGGATCTCAAAATGGACAAATTATAGGCTGAAGGATAACGTTTCAATAAGTGTTAAACATCCTGTGATATTTTGCCACCAAGCCCGTTTTTATCTACTAATTTCAGGCAGTATAAAGCCGACTGAAGATTTTATTAAGCATAGGGGTGAAGTGGATTGATGAAGTAAACCTGCGAGCAGCAGCGCTCTTTTATAGCTCTATGCTAAAGAGGCAAAATGGAATCGATTCCCGCGCCCATGGCCTACCAAACCTTCCATCCCTTCAGGCTCGGTCAGTTGATACCAGACTTGTCTCGGAGGATAGCAGCATTGGCTCGATACATCGATAGACCACCGCGAGTCATTGTAAAGAAAGAAATTCCGACTTCGATTTTCAGCCAACGTGCCGCCATCGCCCAAGCGTTTGACGAGTATAAAGAGAAGACGTGCATACGTTTTGTGCCACGAGAAAATGACGACGTCGACTACATCTACATCAAGAGAAATGTTGCATTCGGGTATGCTCTTTCCTTTTCGAATATTCGAGAATACGATAAGGATGGGCTTCTACCATACTTATAATGCCAGTATTTTTGCGAGTGTCGTTATTATTCCTATTATCATTATTATTATTATTATCTTAACTCTTTTATTTACTGCCTTTTTCTTCTTAATGGCAGGGTATGTTGTGAAATATAACTCGGTCATCCGGGACCCGGATGGTGTAGTGGTGAAGTGCGCTGCTCCCTGGTAAGGACAACAGCGCTTGTTCGTTCCCCACTGCATACACCTGTGGTCCGGAGTTTTGCAAATATCTCAGCACTTCATACGAATTATTATTATTATTATTATTATTATTATTATTATCATTACTTTTTATAAGTGTAAACGTTTGAGTGCTTTACAAGCTCAAACTTCTAAGCACGTCTTTTAGAAGTACTTATAAGTTTACCTTTTATAAGTATATTATTACATTTTTCTTTTTTTGCTTTTTATTTTTTCCTATTTTTTATAGCTTTTAATACGTAGAATTCTAAATGTGAAGACCAAGAACTAAAAAGAATTAGCTGAGAGGCTGGCGAAACGAAGGACCCGCATGGTGTAATGGTCAACGCGTTAGCTCTCGGAAAGGGTAACAGCGTGTTCCATCCCCACCGCAGACTCCAGCGGTCCAGAGTTTTGCAAATATCACAACATCACTGTGGTTAGTACACACAATACCCTTCTGTGAAGAATTGTAATAGGCAGTAGATAAAAAATTTAACATTGTAGGTGTGAATTTTTTTTACAAAAAAAAGTTTAAAAAATATTGTAAACCAACAACAAGCGGTTCTGCTCTCCTTCAACTACACGTCTGTCCACTAAACTGGTACAATAAGTTTTCATTATTTTTCACGTTTATCTTTCTATTTTGCTGTTTAAATAAGTACGAAAATTAAAACTGGTACTCTCTTTCCATACTCTTGACAATTTCTGAAAACAGTTGAGGCTTGGAGCCTTTAGATTCCGGATTTCAGTTGTTCATCCTATGTTGGCCGTGCCGGTGGCAATCAGACAGTCTCGCTTGAAGTCGACAAGTGTTTCTCGAAGGTTCTGCTTTTATGGAGGCGTTTGATTAAATCTTTATTTTCTGCTAAACAACCACTGTTGCAGTTAGTCCATTTTAGAAATACTGTAAAAACGTATAGCAAGTCAAAAAAAAAAACAAGGGAAGTCGTTGTAGGAGAGCATAATGTGAAACGATGACAGAATTCTTGTTTACTTAATGCTAACATCAACAAAAACGTCGAGTTTATATCACAAAGTGATTCAAAGATTTAATAAGTGTAGATTTAAATAGAAGTCACAAGGAGCAAGAGCTTTGGTTATTATTTGTAAGCGATTAATTCTTTGGCTCATTAATACTTGGATACTTGGACCGCCCGTCTTCACTGTTTATGCAGACACCAGCACAATTTCTACATTTCGAAGTTTTGCCGGTTCAGCTACTGTGGTTCGCTGAAGCCCCGAGGTTAGCCTATCCAAAGTCCACCCTAGGTCGTCACCACCACTGGCAGTCGCCGCCTTTATGGATCAGAGAGACATTTGCCACAATGCGACTAGTTGTATACCAGGACGGTGGTGGATCCTTTTATTAGTTTACTCTTACCTGGACTTCCTGATGGAAACACCGGTTTCCTTCTCAGCTTGGTAGGCCGTATTGGGGTATGAATTCCCTGTAAAACGCAGTCCAACACCCAAGAACAGTTCCCAGCCACGCTGTGGCCGTAAACCGTTGGGAGGTGGCTCATCAATAAAGGTTGTCTTTGCGAAATAATCCAGTCTTCAGTTAACACCATGAAAACTAACTAGAATGACGAAGCGATTTATTGATTGATGCAGATCACGAAACTTTCTAGGGAATTATCGCCCATGAATTAATGCATGCGCTTGGATTTTTCCATGAGCACTCAAGAACGGATCGTGACAAATACGTCGACATACAGGAGGACAACATCAGGGCAGGTATTCTGAAAACTTTTACTAATTTTTTCTTTTCGTTGAAGCCAAGATTAGCCTTCATTACCGCGCTCTTACCTGATAGGAAGATTTTTGCTCATAAATTCTTTAAAATCTATTTGAGTAACATTTTCGGTCAGATGAATTTTTGTTTATTTTCTGTATAAGAAGTTGACAATGCATATAGTTAAAGAGGTATTGATCAGGAATAAAATTGTAATACGCCTAGGGGAAACAAACTCTTCAGAAAACATCAGAATGGTTGTTAGAAGTGGAAGCCTAAATGGACTATAGGGTAAAATTCGCAGAAGATGAAAGCATTGTAGTGATTTCTTCAAAACAGAAAGCGCTGAAGAGGTTTTTCTTTTTAGGAATGATGAGAAACTTCGAGAAGTATCCACGAAAAATTATCGATCCGTTAGGAATGCCGTATGACTACGATTCGATCATGCATTATCATAAACTTGCGTTTAGTCGCAATGGAAAGCCGACAATCGTGCCGAAGAATCGCTCGGTTGAAATTGGACAACGCTATAAACTCAGCGAAATTGACGCCAAGAAGGTGAAACTGTCGGTGTCCCAAAATTCCAGCGTCAATCAGTAAACGCTCCACTGTGGACAGTATTAAAAATCTGAATGCTTCAAAAAATGGATTTAAAGAAAACCACCGATAATGTAAACGTAAAGATGTTGAACACATCTCAAAAGTAAGGCGTCGATAGGTCGTCGCAGAAGTTTTGCATAGTCGATAGGAACATGATGAGGACTCTCGTCAGTTAACTTAGGACTAGGAGTTGCGTAACAATTAATGAAAAAAAAAACAGAGTAGATTTGCTCGTATTTTCTTTTTGAGGTGCAAGAAGAGAATCCAACCAAAATAAGGAGAAGGTAACCAACTAGGAGCAGAAAAATAGTTAATATGGCTATGGAAATCAAGTAGTCAAACGGACTTGTGAGAATGAAAAAAGGAGTTTGGAATATTTCTATATTAATTCGAGGTAGAGGAAGCTTTCACGGAAAACTGAGAACGTAAAATCAGGATGATTCAGTGAAAATATCTTTACAACCATAATGATGTTGAAATATTTGCAAAATTCCAAACCGCAGGTGTCTACAGTGAGGAACGAACGCGCTGCTACCCTTTTCGAGGGCTAACGCGTTCACCACTGCACCATGCGCGTCCTCCGTTTCAATTGTCTCTCAGCTAGTTTTCTATCTACAAGTGTCACCATAACAAGGCTTTTTTTGGTAATGGTAGCGAATCTACGACTGACTAAGTGGTGTGGCAAGAATTGTTTTTAAAAAAAAGCGATTTGCTAATGTGAACTCGCTTCCCCCGCCCCAAAAAAATGGCATCCAACCAAACCGTGCTTATTTTTAGATAAACAGACTCTATAAGTGCAAAGGTTATTCCAAGACCACGACCACTTCAAAGCCGTCAGCCACTACAACTGCATCTACTACAACCAGACCTACCACCATTTCCTCTACAGCAAAAACAAAATCCGGGCGTGGACGAGTGAGTAGATTCACAAAATGTCTCCAGAATATGCCGTGAACTTTCAAAAACTGAAAACTATTGGCCATAATGGCTATGATGCTAAGCATGAAAGCCAAAACTTTCTCAATAGTTTTCTATTAAGGTTGCATTAATAGTTGAGTCTGTCTTCCCTGAATCACGAAAACTCGTGCGAACGTTTACATATTTTCCATTTGATTGGTAAATTAATGGTTGGACTTTATATCTTCCCCCTCATGCGCGCGTGTGACGCAGTGTTCGGAGGTGCCCTGCAACACACACGTGGAATAGATTCCAGCGCTCAAAACCGAACAACCATTCCATCCATCTAAGGTCGGCAAATTGGCACCAGACTTGTCTGGAAAGATAGCAGCACTGGCGCGATACATCGGTAGGCCACCGCGAGTCGTTGTAAAGGCCAGATATGCATCCAATCATCTCCAAACGACGCTTAATGAAGTCGAATGCATGGCGCATCCCATCAGGGATTGATCAACACCAAGAGCTTTATCCTTTTGTCCTGTATCATTTCTCTCGAGTTTCAAAAACTGTGCTACAATTCTCCCAGGTCCTCAACGCTTGTCTTCAATTGACCATGTTGTTACCAGAATGTCAGCTACTCCTGGCACAACATTACTCATATAGTTCCCAAAATCGACTTACTCTTAACCTCGGCATTGGAATATGAATGTGTCGTTTTCTTGTTCAGCAATCGTGAGGTTTTTAAACACCATACATTTACTTCCATAAAAAACACAATACAATACAACGCTAGCTGACGTTTCGGCAGTATCGCCTTCTTCAGAGCCGCGCTTTTTGCTTCCAATGAGGAAGTTTAGAACAGCTGATTATAGTCGCATGTGGTTGACCAGTCACGAAAAAGCGGCTCTGAAGAAGGCGATACTGCCGAAACGTCAGCTTCTGTTGTCTTGTATTGTTTTTCTTTGGAAGTAAATGTACGCTGTTTAAAAAACTCGCGATTACTGAACAAGAAAACGACACATTCATATTACTCATATACATCACAGCCCAACATATAAGAACATTCTCCAGCCGTTATAAGGTCATAAGCTGTTTGGCGCTTCAATCGTAGTCTACAACTGTTACACGTCAAAGAAGCCACAGTTCTAGATCGACCTATATGTTTCTAACTGCCTGGATACCTTAAAAACCGACTTTTCTTTAACTCAGTGTGGCTAATTAATATCTATTCTCTTCTTGGCAAGCTAAAAGGTTTATCTGACTCTTCGTCTTTCTGAGAGCCGATGATCTAAGTCGATGGCCATAGTCGTTCGTACTCGGACAAACGTTTGCCAGATAAACCTTTTTCGTCAATATCGTGCTAATTTTCAATGAAAGAATACACACTACACGAATACTATTCGCATTAGTCGCATGTATCACGCAGATCATCGAGAAACTCGAGAGAGTGAGTAGCCTCTCATTCTTCTCAGTCTCGCCTTTGAAACTGCTCGCTCGAAAGACTTCGTTCGCTCGAAAACATAAAAGGCTTCGCAGTTTTCTTTCATACTTCTAACGTTTAACCTTACTGGCAACGGTACCTATTGTCACTTTTGGGGTCTGTCATGGTATAGGCTTTCTCTAATTTAGGCTGCTCAGTAAAAACAGCGAACTCAACTTTAATCTAGTCAACGTATGAGTTCGTAAGATGAGTTCTAGTTGTGTACCTCATCTCGACATCCATGAAGATCTATCAAATAGGATGAGATGGCGGCGTATTCCAGGAAGGAATATTGTTAAAAAACCACAATGGCGCTGAGATATTTGCAAAACTCCGGACCGCAAGTGTCTGCGGTCGAGAACGAACGCACTAGTACCCTTTCCGAGGGCTAACGCGTTCACCATCACACTATGTCGATCCTTCGCTTCGCCAGGTTGACATTCTTAAAACAGCTGAACTCATCTTTGGTGGGTATATTATCAGGCGTTGCCAACCTGTCGTGATTTTAGGGTATTACACGGCGAACATCTACCACTAGAAGGCCAAGGATATTCATAACAACCAAGTCGGCCACCATAACTACTACTACCACTACTACCACCGCTACTACCACCACTTCTTTTAGGCGATCGGCAGAAAGTAAGCCTTTTGTTAAGTTTTTTAAGAGTAAGTGCTTTCACTAGCCGCTCAACCAACAACTACTGAGTGAACCAGATGTAAATTATAAAACTTTGTTTTTACTCAGAATGTGTTGATCTGAATGCACATTGTGGAATGTGGGAGCAACTTGGACATTGTAAACATTCTACCAAATACATGTCACATTATTGTAGAAAATCTTGCGGATTCTGTAATGATGGAACGATATGTGAGTTAATAATTTATTTATTGATCGATTTTAATGAATCCATGAAAAACATGCATTGACTAAAATGCGCATGAGCGGCAAGCTATAAATTGTGTTGGGTATAAGTAAAGCCTTTACACTGCTCAAAAATATCGTCCAATGGTAGTTTTGCGTTCTTGCTTTTCTTCTTAGATTTTCTGCTTATGTGAAATACCAAAACAATATTTCCTTCTTCAGCCAATACTCTAACGACATTTGGCAGCAAAAAAGGACAAGGACGTGGCGGTACAGGCAAAGGTGGGAACGAAAAAACTGGTGGAGTACAGGAAAAGTGTACCGACAAGAACCTCTTCTGCGGTTATTGGGCAAAAATCGGAGAATGTAACAGCGGCAGTAAATTCATGAAAATCTTCTGCAAAGCCTCATGTGGTCGATGTTAACTCGGTTGAAGCAGAGATTTTTGGATCGTAAGTCGATAGAAGACATTTCCAATGTTATAGTAGGTTTCTAGGTCCCATCGTCGGTTTCTCAATTTTTTAAGCCTTCCGATGGACATTGTGATGTTGCTTTTTATTGATGAAAATCTGAGGATATTTTTGTAACAGTATCTCTTCGAAGTCTTTCTTCTTAGGTGTCACTCGGTTTCTTTCATTTACTGTCAAGATCTTCCGTCGAAAATATGTGATGTATTTTTGATCTTTCCTTGTTTGTACATTTTGAACATACAATTTAAGAGAGTTTTATATCCCTACGCAAGTAAAATAACTAAAGAAACGCTCGTGATCTTAGAGGCCAGGGAAGCGCAGTAACTTGACGCGATGCTTGTCACGCGCTTCGATTAATAATTGCACTTCGCGACTTTTTTAGCACTACAGCATGCCGAAAAGAAACCACCGTCAGTCCGATGACTTTAACCAGCCGGGTTCATCTGATCCTTGCTAGCAACAGTGTTGCCGGTGCCTATGATTGGTCCAAATTGATTCGATAGCGATCGATCAATGCGTATCTGGCACATATATTTTGAGCACAGGTCACTCTATTGCGACTATGCGCAATGACTGGGTGCTAATATATTTCAACCTTTTTATTAGAATTCCTCGTTTATTTTGGAGCGACCACAGATGAGTTATTGAACAAGTATTTATTAATTAATAAATATTTTCCACCTATGTTGTCCAAATCCCATGATTAATTGAGCGGTCTTTGTGTCATTAATTTCATGCATATCGATTAATTCGCTGCAAGTAGTGTTTTCACATTGAAACCATTGAAATAGCTAGAAACTTTATTATTAAAATATCGAATTGTTACAGTTTACTGTGCGGTGATCCGATAATGTCGACCAGATTGGCGCTGGCGAAAATATTCGCTGGGTCGAGTTCCATCTGAATTTATTCGATTAGATGATAACCTCGGAAAAGAAATTCGAAGAAAAAATCCTAAAAACAGATAGAGATGGACGAGAGATGGACCCTTAGCAGATGGACGGAAGAGGGTGGTGTTTACAGTCTAACATAATGACGTTATTCATAAAAAGCAAACTAAGTACTGTATATAGTGGGCTCGGAACAGTTGACCACTCGCCTTTCGGCGCGGTTTTCTTATTACGACTTTTTTCACTGGCGATCGGCATATTATATGGTGAGAACGATTAGTTAGGAAGTCAGCGCTTTTCGCCTTAAGCATTTGAGCAAAGCTCAGGACAAATTGCTCTTCGACACCTTAAGTACTACAATTACACGAAAGCAGTAACACGCCCAACCAGAAGAAAGCTAATTACGGCAAAGGTTACGGCTATTTTTCAAAAATTTTCAATGAGTGGGAGTGAAATAATGAAATCTCAACGAAGAGGATGGATGGGACCCTAATTTAGCTGAGACTCAGCTCGATGTAAAACGTTCGTGAAATATATTGATTTGCTGGCTGAGAACGAAAAGGCAATGCTTTTGAAGTGCTCAACACTAAAAAAAAGTGATAAGTGCCAATAAATGAACCCCTCCACAAGGAAATTTGAAAAATTGCTAAACAACTGGTGCTATTTTGTTTTAGAAAGAAATGAGTGACTTACATTTCCTTTTTATTTTCTGCTTACCACAATTTTTACGGAAGGTTATTATGCGAAATACAACCACAACGATGCTGAGATATTTGCAGAACTGCGGAGGGTCAGGCGAAACGAAGGAACTCCATGGTGTGGTGGTGAACGCGTTACTCCCCAGAAAGGACAATAGCGCGTTCGTTCTCCACCGCAAACACTTGCCGGCCAGGAGTTTTGCAAATATCTCAGCACTATAATGGTTATATTTCGCAAAATACCCTACCGTTAAAAAGAACAAGCAGTAAATAAAAAGGTTACGATTGTGATCATCTCAGCATCGTTGTGGTCGAGTACGTTATAGTTTTTATGATATCCAGTAGAATCCGCTACTAAAATTTAACACATCTACACATTACAAGACGAAAAACGATTAGATAAAATACTTATGAACTCCAATATTCAGTTCGTGATTACAAACAAAAATCGATTAACTGACCCGAGTTCTAGATCCCACTGGAGTTTAATACAAGTACTATCGCGATTCGCCAACCTTTTTTATCTCTTTGTTCATTGCATCGATTTCTACTCCAAGATTTAGCTTTCCAACTACTTTTCACCGATAACAATTCCAAGACATGCTATTTTGTGAGGCAAAAACTAACTAAAAAAATTTTTAAAAACACTGAGAATAACCTTAATGGCTTTTAACAACGATATGCCAACCGCTCCTTGTGTTGTCAGCATCCATTGTTTCCTCAATTTTCCAATACCATGATGATGTGAAACACTTCCACCACATGCAATGATTTCATCTCGAGCAGCTGTCTAAAGAGTGAAAAGCTATCTTAATACACGCATGCGGTCAGATACCGTACTCACACGGGTGAGTAGCTTCAGGTGATTCTATTCACTTGACATTACAAAGTCGACGTTTTCATTTTCGTCCTATCACTGAGTACACTCTGATAAATTGACAAATAATTTATAAGGACGTAATAGAAAAAACGGTCTCCAGCTAGTTAACGAATGTTTATTAAGATTGAACGAGAGAAACGTAATAAAACCTAACACCAACCTCGATCTTATCGTAGACCTCTAAGCCATTCTCTAAACCTCGAGCATTGAATCCAAAATAGAAATAAACACAAGCTCCAGCGTCATACACTTGAGTGACCCTGTGAGAAGTTGAGTAATTCACGATAGTTAAGCCGACTAATGATTAGGGTCAGGGTCAGAGCAACAAAATCGGAGGAATTGTGAAGAAAAAAGTGGGTAGGGTTCACTTATTGTTTGCTTGCCCGTTGAATCGAAAAAATAAATAAATAAAAGCCACCGAAACGACAAAAAACGCTTAGGAAACTTGAGGACTCAACAACACTGAAGTTCTTATGTGATGATAAGAATTCAAAAATTTCTTTAGGAATAAGGACCATCAGCTAACAAACTTTATGAAATATTTCTTAGGTGTTTAGAGCAACCTTGCACTAACCTACAACTTGCCAGCACAGGATACTGTACTCCTAAATTTTTGGCTAGTCGTTTAATGAGTGTCTTGACGTTTCGACACAGATTAAGCACCTTAATTATAAAGTATACAATAAAGAATAAAGAGTGAAATCGATTTACGTGGCTTTCAACATTTCCCTATCTTTTTCATTGGCTGGCTTCTTTAAAGAATTCTGTCAATAACAAAAATGACAAAAGATATTGGATTGGTAAGGTCTCCTTACCATATCCCATGGAACTGACGTTTCGAACGATTCGCCCAGTACACCATAGTCCATGCCAAGATCCTTAAACTTTCATCTACGTAGAAAAATAACTCTTCGATGGTTAATGAAAAGGAGATAACTGTAGGAAAAATAATTCTAGGTCTACTCACCCTCAAATACGCAATGGCGAATGTTAATCGATATCCATATTTTCCATTCTCTTCACCGCCAACCTTAAAACCGTCATTGAGACGCTCTTAAACGGTTTTTGCCAAATAAGTCGTTGTTATTTAACTTTTAAGAGAAAAGTTCTACACAGATCAAACCACTGAGAATTTCTATCGTTTTTTATCTAATATTTTTTATCGCAAAATGTCCGGTGCCTATCCTATTTCCCGTAAAGCCTACCACGCCTTTGTATTGTTCAGCTAAAGCATACAGTCTTCGTTCGGCATTGTTCACTTCATCGAGTGATCCTTCGAAAACACACGTCGCAGCGCACATCTCATCGACCTGAACGTTTCTGTGCACAAAAATAGGGTTTTATAATAAAGATAATTTAGAGATTTCCAGAAAATATACGTTATGGATAAAGACGGAGCAAGATATGCACAAATATTTTCTTCATGTCATCCTTGTTTACACCCAAGTGAACTTCTTTTTAAAAAGAGACAAAGCGATACAGTAGAGTGCAGCATGAACCATATGTTGATTGGGTATACGACGGCAGTACCTGTGTGTGCCAGGCGAAAGAAAAAACGTACATATTGATTTTCTCCGCTAATAAATCAGTAAGCATACATTGCGCAGACACTTCATAATTTTCCAATAGCTTTCATCTTCACTATTCCTCTAGAAACGTTCACCATTATTATGGAATTTACGCGTGTGCGCTCATCTTTCTATGTTTACTTACAAGGCCTAAACTAGAAAAAAGATGGATTATCCTTCTAGTGGCTTGCATCCTTTCTATGGCCAAATTCTTCCTGGTTGTAGAATTACGGCGAATAACTCGGCTTTGTCACCATGAACATCACGAAGTTGAGAAGAAATTTCACATTCTCATCTTAAAGCCACAGTAGCACTAAGTCAAGATTCGTCATCGTTCTCAAAGATGTCTCATCCGTTAGACGGCGACAAACCTTCGATCAACCTTCAGGTATTGACCGTCTCCTGTGGTGGCGATCTGTCATAATCATACACGGAATCCAAAACAGAAAAACCTTGCCTATAATAATGAGGATAAAAGACAAAGCTTTTGGCGTTGATCAATTCACAAGGGATGCGCCATGCTTTCGAATTCATGTAGTTTCGTAAGGATGGTTGGACCCATATCTAACTTATACAGTGAGGCCTTCAGCGTGCCGATGAACCAAATCAGTGCTGCTATCCTCCCCCACGGCAAGTCTGATGCCAATATGCCGACCGGAGAGGATGAAAGTCTTGTTAGTCCCTGTGAGATCCGGGCGCTTAATTGAATCAAGGATCACGTGTGTATTGCAGAGTACCTCTAACCACTACATTACACGTACGTATGAAAATAAAGGTTATTTTAGGTGCACATAGCGTCTGATTAGAAGTGTACTGCAATACAAAAGGAGTCGTTGGCTCAGTGCTGCGTCTTGGTTTAACCAAGCCCTGCCTCCCTCTGTAGTCGGTAGAACACCAGACAATCCTGAAGGAATAAAATACACTGACTCAGTACATCAGTACGCTCACTCAAATTATTGTATAGGCGCTATATAATTGATCAACGGACAGAATGCTTCATCCTCTATCCATTATGAATTATTCTGCTCCACACATGACGGAGACGGACATGAGCGTTAAGTCGACCCATCCGAGGGTTCAATCAATTAAAGGTGGAATGAAGCAAAAAATTGCCAGTATACCAATTTTTTCCTGCAGATTTTAAAAAGAAAAGTCAGAATGATTTCTGTCCTTTTTTCATCTCCAGATTATGTCTCTCAACGATATAAAAGTCGACAGAAACGATAAAAAGTCACTTACACTAAAGCCTTTCCATTTTGTGATATAGAAACGACTTAACGAGCTCTTCAGCGCTGCCCAATAGGAGTTCACTTCGAGTTTTATTGCTTGTCCCATAATGAATTGCTCGTTGTCTATGAGCCGAAGTGATGCTGGTTGAATTCTCTAAATATACGGAGATCAACCAAAGTAAACCAACCTGTGTTCATGTTTGGTTCTAGAATTTTGTCTTTTTGCTTTGACTAGGAAGATTCTTCAGAATTTTCCCTCATAACTGGGTTTTTGGGGCGTGGATAGCGCAGTAGTAAGTGGTGCCATCGATTAGGAAGCAAAAGGCGCTAGTTTGATCTCCGCCAACAACGCTCTCTTCCAATCCACGTGGAAACGTTTTAACCTGGCTATCTCCAAAATTGAAAAGCGAATTGACTCAACCATTATTCTGTAACATTCATAGAGAAGACGAAATCATCAAACAGCCGCTGAAATGACATGCGAAATGTGTTGAGACCAATGCACACGATGAATGCGGGGAAAACGAATCGAATGCAGAACATTCTGGGATTCGCACAGTAGGTGTGATGACGGGTCATGTGAAGATGAAAAACAAACAGAATTTGATTTAGTTGCTACTTAAATGCGAACTGGTAAGCTCTCTTCCAGAAAGCTCCGATCTAAATGAAAACTGATGTGGTAATCTCTCACACCAGATAGCAACCAAGGTTTCTGATGCGACACGATGATTCACGCGCATTCCCTTAATTTCGTATCTTGCAATCGCCGTTAAATCGGATAAAATCGAAAGTCGACCAATGAGAGGAACTGCTATGCATGTGTACAAATGCGGTTCCAATTGCATTCGTGGCTGAGTGGTCTAGTGGTATGATTCTCGCTTAGGGTGCGAGAGGTCCCGGGATCGATCCCCGGCTCAGCCCTACTTTTCCAGAGAAGGGCACTTTTTGCTATTTACTTACTCGATCAAACAAACTAATGACATCACGAAAGGATACGGCTGCTTTGAGGAAATTAGAAGCACGAACAGCCTTTGACTACTTGCTATTTTCATGTAACGTAAATTAAACATTCTTGTAGGTTTCATAAAGAGGCTACTAATCGCTCCCTCTCACAGGGTTTCGGTCACCTGTCTAGCGACTTCTCTGAAGAAAGCGACACCATGTGCAAAATCTGGAAACACAAGACTACCGTAGCGTTTCACTTCTGGTAGCGGGAAGATCTTGATGGTGACCTGGAATATAGACATTATACTAAGATCCCTTTCTGGATGATTATGGTCATTTTGGCTGAGATTTCAAGGAAATATTTTGACAACTAAATTTATACCAGAATAGACGAGTAAAAGTAGAAAGATAAAAAGGAAATAATCACCTACATTCCTTTATTTTATATGTAGGGTAAAAAAGTTTCCTATAATGGTCATCAAATTCTAAAAGATGTTAGTATTTGGATCTAAAAGGTTAACAATGAGCAAATCTACGCCGTGCCATACCCGGATGACTTTCTTTAGGATGTCAGCAAGAACAAAACGACTCGTACGAGAATAGTGATTGTCCCCCATTTCCTCGACTCAAAGAATTAGTTTGACGAGTACAGGAGGGTTAAGGAGCATGGCCTGAGCCAATAATGACTTAAGTGCTGCCAAATGAGGTCACTTGACGATTAAGTGGGTTAAAGGTGATAGAGGTAGACGTTTAAAGACTGCCGACTGATTTTTGCAGCTAATACTCTAAGCATTTAAAAATGGAACAAACGACAATGAACTTTGTTTTCACGGCTCCACAAGGCAAAACTAAGATTTCTGATCATCAACGAGTGAAGTTCGAATAACTAGCAGTGAATACGAGCAAATATAAGTGCAGAAAACTACATAGATTAAACAAGACGTATAGAAGCCATGGGAACGTACCAAAGAAAGTGCAATCGAATCGAATGGTCGAATACAAGAGTTAAAAAAATATTCAAAATTGGGTGGACCATATGAGTGTTTAGAAACATAGTTTCTCGGCATTATAAATGTCAAACAACGGCTTCGAAAATTTCATGAGTCCGACAGTTTCAAAAGCAATAGGAAAATGAGGGTCACCTCGTAAAAGTGTAGTTGGAGTCAGAACGGCGAGAATGTAAGAAGGTTTGAGAACAGCAGGGTGAAAAATCAAGTTTCGAAACTAGAAATTGAAGAATCAAAAAAACGGTTAACTAATGGCTTGCAAAGGATCTCATGAACCACAGAGTCCGTTTGGCAATTACAATTATATTATCGTGCAAGCGTGTGGCGCACTTCTCGGAAGCGACGTGTAACACGCACGTGGAATCGATCCACGCGCCCATGGCCCACCAAGCCTTCCATCCCTCTGGGGTCGGCAAGTAGGTACCAGACTGATCTGAGAGGACAGCAGCACTGGCGCGATACATCCGTAGGCCACCGCGTGTCATTGTAAAAACCAGATGTGCATTAAATCACCTCCAAACGATGGTTAATGAAGTCGAATGCATGGCGCATTCCTCAGGGATTAATCAATGCCGAGAGCGTTCTCCTTTTCTTTCATCCATCGTGCGCGTATAACGCAGTGGTTAGAAGTTGCGTGTAGGACACGCACGGTTTCATGGTTTCTGGTTTTGCACCAGTGTTAGGCAAGTTTCCCATGTTGTATAGGTCAACTATGCATTAAACAAACGCGGTGCTAAACCAACTCGGTTTTTTCTTCAATGGTTTACAGAGTGGAATATATTCCGTATATCTATGGAACTGGTTAACGTCGGAGATTTTATGTTTCGTTCTTTAATTACGTCATTGTTAGTCCCTCCTCCTTCCCCCACCACCTTCCCAGTAGTTGTTCACCCTCATCATGATAGAGAGGTGTTTCCATGTGTTCAACTGTGATGTATGGGTAGAGGGCATTCATTCCTACAACATGATCTCCATGATAGGAAGTACTTCAGCATTTCTACTCTTGCTCACAGCAAACGACTTGTTGGTATTTTTCCCGCCAAAAACCAAGCCGTAATAGATTTTGCGTCCAAAATAACGGAGACCACTGAGCATTTCTTTATGCGCGGCAAGGTGTAATGGAGGTTTTGTCCCTGTTCCGTCGATTAATCCGATGGATGAGACGACAAAGGTGATAAGAATGATTCATGCGTAGAAAGAAGCTATTTGGAAAACATTTAAATAATTCTTTAAAACATAGTTTTCACAAAAATTTCAATAGCTTTATTACCTCGGTCACAACGCCAAGCGTTCCCTCAGAACCCATGATGATATGATGAAGATCGGGACCGCTTGACATACGTGGCACCTAAACAGAACTATTTCACATCAAACAATTAGCTTAAAAACAGATGAGAAGCTATTGTAACAGTGATAATTCATGTTTATGACGTCATCAATGGCGGACCATTCGTTACAGATACGAAGAAGAGCTTAGGAACACGAAACTTTCCGTTTTTATCTGAACCATCAAAAAAACTAGAATTTTTGAAGTTTACACTACATGGGAAATAAACCTTTTGAACGATTTGTTAGCAACACAACCTTCGCTAATAGTTAATTGATCCAATTCCTATATTGCCTAGTTGTGTGCTCATCGTTTACTGGGTTATAGCAATATGGTGCGCGTGTAGAACAGTGGTTAGAGGCGCACTGAAATACACAAGTGGTCGTTGGTTGGATTCCACGCTCTGAGCTCACCAAGCTTTCCATTACTTCGGGGCTGACAAATTAGTATATGCATTGCGCATCCATCAAGAACTGGTCAACGCTGGAAGCTTCATCACCTTCATACCATTACATTTAATGTTGCAATTTCTGAGCACTTGTTGATGAAGAGAGTTACAACTCGCTTGTCTCGACGTGATTTCTGATCACCATCACGTTCTGAGTGCATTGACTTCATTTTCATCCCATGAGTGATGCGTAGGCAACACCGATCGGACAAGCATTGCATCCAACAAAAATAGTTCATCACGTGGATGTTCATCACCAGTGGATAAAACCTCAAGATTACGGTGGATCATCAGCTATTTACGAAATCTCGATGGGAATGTTTGAATTCCGTTTGAATGGTCTCCTTTTCATACTTCGTTGAATTCTACCCGCTCAATCTCGTTTTCATCCACCGCTCTCTTTTGAATGATTACTCAGCTTTCTTCTCAATTTCTAAGGTAATGAAAGTATTCCAGTTCTAACAGCAATGCGATCTGGGTACTGAGAGATTAAGCGTTTTGCTCTTTTTCAGTTCAGTGAATTATTTTTGCGACTTAGTACTACACTATATTCTGATGGTCCTTTACTAATTTTTAACTGATTAGAGTTCTGAGGTGGTCCTTTACTGATTAGTTAACTACGAATATTTGGAACACAGATTTTACTCTACATATGAATTTATGAGAAGGATCTAATCTCGTATTTATTCTTGAGTGGACGATTTCATACATTTTCTATAAAAGATAGGTATTGATTGAGCAAGATCACCTGACATTGCTTATGTATCATTCCTTTGGCTGTGGCGAAGTTTATGTGCACCACAAGATCCTCTATGTTACCGTATCTAAATCGGTTCCAATGCATATTTTATAAAGTTGTCCACATTTTGAACCAAAATCCGATTCAATGGATAATTTGTCAAGTTGTGCAAACGGTGTTAAAATCATATGAATGGCGACAATAATGAATTATGAGATAAGAATTTGGAACTCTGGTGTGTTTATAAATCTCTGTCCAATATGCTAACGAAACTTAATATAACCGCACATTTGTTAATAGGATAATTAATAAAGGATAAAAGGATAAGGGATAAAGCTCTCGGCGTTGATCAATCCCTAAGAGATGCGTCATGCATTCGACTAAGCATAGCTTGGAGATGATGAATGCATATCTCGCCTTTACAATGACTCGCGGTGGCCTACCAATGTACCGAGCCAGTGCTGCTATCCTCCCAGACCAGTCTGGTACCAGTTTGCCGACCCCGAAGGGATGGAAGGCTTGGTGGGCCAAGAACGAGGCGATCGGTCCCATGTGTGTGTTGCAAGGCACCTCCGACCACTGCGCTACACGTGCCCATTTCATTAATACTACTAGAAATACTAGTATAATAGAAGTATTTACGAGCGACAAAGGAAAAACGTCCTCTAAAAATATGTGCTTGACTAGCATAAAGAGAAGTAAATATGTAGAACACATCGAAAATCGCTGAGTCCAGGTTTACTTGACCAGTAAATAAGTAAATAAATAAATAAATAAATATCTATTAATGGATACCTAAAAAATATACAACCAGAGAAATGAGGTAAATGGAATAGAGAATTTTCACCTATTCTTTTTCATGCCACTGGCTCTGGTCGAAACCCATCCACCAAGGGTGGAAAATTCGATTGAATCCGGCTCATGACCACAAGTATAACCTTTAGCATTCAGTTGACGCTCCAATGACTGTCCAACAATGCCAGCCTAAGAGAAAGGTCGTTAAGAAAACACAGTCACAAAGATGATAAAGTATTGAAGTCTCTAACTGGCTTCTTCACTTTGTGTCTTTGGCAGCGCACGTGAACTACTAAAATTCCATAATAAAATTCAACACTTATTAAGAAAGCCTGCAGGGAAGAGAACAGACCGAATCAATTAAAAGGTTTCCCACTCACGAAGAATATTGTACAATCATTTACTAGACGATTTAGTTGTTAAAGGTTAAAGCTCTCGACGTCGATCAATCCCAAAGGGATTCGTCATGCATTCGACTCCGTTAAGCATCGTTGAAGGTGATTGAATGCATATTTGTCTTTTACAATGACCCTTGGTGGCCTACTGATGTATCGAGCCAGTGCTGCTAACTCCCAGAGAAGTCTGGTACCAATTTGCCGCGCGCAGAAGGATGGAAGGCTTGGTGGGCCTTGGGTCCTGGGATCGATTCCACGCGTGTGTTGCAGTACGCCTCCGACCACTACGCCACACGCGATTTATTTGATAGTTATATGAAATAATATATTTGCAGTGATTTTAAGAACACTGTTTTATCAACACAAATTTCTTTTCCATGCTTCAAACGCGTAAGTATTATCGATTGTTGCTTGACTTTTCGGCGTTCTCGATCGATACATACCTGTGCTCTACAAGTAAGATTTTCCTTATCGATCCACAGAATTTTATCCATAAGAGCCATGTCCATAGAGATCACGGCTCGTTTCTCTGTACTTGGACAATCTAGAGCGCTCGAAACCGATGTGCCACCACCAATCGGAATAATCGCACAGTTAGTGTTCATTGCTAGATCGATAATCTGGAAATGTTACAGTAATTATGCTAATTCAGCACAAATCGTCCCGAGGACAAAAATTGTGCCAAAAATCGATAGCATGGAGAAATTCCTTTCTTCTCATATGAATGTGTTTGTCCCCTTATTATATCAAGTGGTGGAAAAACGCATATTTTTTGGGGTTTGGGAGTCCACTAAGCGCACACTCAACTTCATCAAACTTCTTCTAGTTCCCCATTCCTTTCTGTTTTCATAGCTTTTACTGTTGATTTCGAAGTAATTTGTGCTATTGCTATAGAAATTTGGATATTTCGAGAAACTTCCAGTTGAATGTAGACGATTTTTATGATAAGTGATTGAGACATGCTTTTTGTACGTCGTGCTCACTTCGTGGCCATACAACCAAATCTGGCAAACGTGGCAGATGTCCGTTTCGAAGATGAATGATATCATGCACCTGGAATATTGATTTCAGTGCTTCCAATCGATTTTATCGACCTGTTAACTGGCCCTTATCAATTGATTACAGTTCTAATGAAATGATATGTATAAAATTGCCTTAGGAAAATGTAAGCTATACTACTTTCTTTCCGATAGTACTTTCTTTGTGAGGCCCGTGATAAAACTTAATATGTTGTTAAGGCTGTTATAATGAATCCGACTACAGCACTATCAGTTTCCAAAGACTGATAAGCTTTCCACCACCATGAACCGAACAACCGGGAACAATTCTAAACGGATACCTAATCAATATTTTTATGGCGTGCAAACATAACAAAAAGGCGGAAACCGACTCAAAGAATTTCGGTGCGTTTAATTCAAAGATGGTAACCTTTTGAACCTGCTGTGAATGGAATCGTTACTCGCTCGTCCGACCGATAAGCATCAATTGTATACAAAGCCCTACCGTATGTCCGTGAGCTCTCATGAGCCGAATTCGTGGAGCATTCGAAAATGAAATATTGGCGTTTTTCAGTTCGTCGTGAATCTCATCGTTTTCGACTGGTGGTGGAATTTCCACATCCGCTAGCTTCTTACTTGGTGTTGTGTAGTGTAATTCGAGACCAAGCTTTGACTCGAACCACGGACGAAGATTTGGCATCACATGGCCTGACAAATCGTACCTGAACAAAGACGATATTTATTATTTTTTTTACACGACCCGTCTTTTTACTGTGCGGGTTCCAGCAGTCCTTATATTCGATTCCTTTCCTCGCATCCATCATCCACAAAGTTCTTCTAACTTTTTGAATGATGTATTCTACTTCGGCTGCTACTTGAGGATCTTCATTTTATTTCATTTTGAATGTCGTTGAATGCTGGTGGAGTCAATTCTCCCCGGAGTCCTGAGATAGCCGAGCTGGAGCGTTCCCAATTGGACTGCGCAGAGTTAACGTTTCCCAAACAAGTCCGGTACCAAATTATCCACCCCGGAAAGATGGGAGGCTTGATGAGTTAGGAGTGGGAGTGAACCAGCACTGTGCTCACGATGACCGGCATCACCCCTACTGTGCTATCCTCACCCTGACATATAATATATGTCTCATACAAAACTGCATATCATGGTTCAATGATTAGATATTTCCTTCAGGTGATGAGTGAATCTCTCTCAAGATGAATATATTACACATACTTCAGCCATAAACGTTGGCTATTGTTTGAAAATAGGCTTCGACTTCGGTAAACGAACTGCTACATCTCTTTGGTAGTATTGATTAAAATCGTTCGTCACTCACTTTTTCCAGGATTCTTCCAGAAATTCTTACTTTTGAGATGAATATATTACATGTACTCCAACCATAAAAGTTGACTATTGCTTGAAAATAGGTTTGAGGATTTGAACTTGGTCTACTGAAATTCCTGCAATAATTCGTCACTCACTTTTTCCAGGATTCCTCCAGAAATTGCAGTAGACCTAGTTCATATCCTCACCTAGGACCGTAATACATGTATCTGTTACCAACTGAGTGAAAACAAGTGATTCGTATGGAACAACCGTGATTCTCTACTTTTTTCGACATTTAATAATAATGATTTGGTCTGAATGGGTTCCTTATGTGTCCTACGTCATTCCTTATCACACTTAGCGAAATAAACGCAAGCAACACAACACATGTGCGTATTGATGGTCACCGAGATCCGATCAATACGTATATTTTGCTCTGTTAAACTTATATAAAATTGCCTCTGTTGGATATTTCAGTTTGAAGTAATTCTTAATTTTCTTTTCTCTCCATGAATGGATATGTTTTTGTGCTAAATGAAAACTTACTTATTTCCTGTCATAACAACATGCCCTTCAGAGTTTAGTTTGAAGTATGAATCAACATATCCCCATCCGTTCCACTTCAGTATCTGGTCACTGAAAACTACGATTTTGGCTCTTAAATTTTACACTCTGGTATCTTTGTGTCTTTGAAGGGAAACATTGCAGCCTAAAATTGTCTCACATCAGTGATTTTCTCATAAACTAAAACATAGTAGTAAACGTATAACGCAAATGATTTAAACTAAAAAAGAAGTTTTAGATTCATTTAGTTTGGTTGTTAAAAGCAGAAGGCTAACCGATATGACTGCGGTACGTTGTGTTCCTTAAGATAATCCATCTAAAAATCAACAATTTTTTTATCAATTGAAATTACGTCTTTCAAAGAACACGTCGGTTTCGAATTTGTGAAATTTATGTTATTAACTGAAAAAATTTTAAATAGAAATAAGGAAGGAAGGAAGGACAGGAAGAAAGGACGAAAAGAAAGGACAGAAAGAAAGAGAGAAATATCATGAAAAATTATTTGAAATTCAGTTGAACTGTTCGAACAAATCCTGTGTCTTCAAAGACAGAAATCTTCCCGCATGAAACGATAAGCATTTAGAAGAAGATGTTCTATATATGTATAAAACCATTGAATATTAAAAGGTTTAGTATTTTTAAAAAGCTGATGACATTGTGAGACATATAAGACTCATACGCCGATGAACAACTTGCAAAGATGTATTTCATTCGTTTCCTATGCCTTGGAGAATTTTTTAGGTCGAAAATGGGTTAAGAGAAATCGCCGAAATACCATGCTTATTTAATTTCGAGTCGAGGGAGGAGCAACTAACTGAAATCGGCAATGAGAAGAAAAAAGAAGCGAAAAATAATGGAATATCAAAGGTGCATTGCGCGTAAACTTTTTGATTGTTGGGCAGAAAAGTAAAAGTGAGAGCATATGAAAGTTGATTCTCCATAAAGAACACCAGCTTTCCGTCCGTCTGCCCATTCAGCCCAGCCACTTGTGAATGCCAGTGTTGAAGGAGGAATCGTTATGATAAGGTGATCGATAATCACTAAGGCGATAAAAGATGGAACCGGTCACCAAAGGAGCTAAGTGCATCTACTTATAGAGGTCAGAATGACACATTGAACAAATGCTGACACTTGTGCTAGTTATTAGTACGTCCCCGGTTACACGTATTGATTTCAATACGTAAGTATACGGAAGTGAGTGCATCTTCTAGCTTTGGATCCGCATTAGTCAGTTAACGCATTTAAAATCACTGAGTTTCTATCAATAACACACAAGTTATTCTGCAATGAAACTTTTTACTACGGTCGTTTTCACGTGTTCTTTTTCGTCATGGCCTTCTCCTCTTTAAATTGCGGCAGAAGCGTTTCGAATTTGGTTGTTAATTTCAGTTTCCTAAATCTAGTTTTGTAATGTTAATAAAGAAATATAATAATAAAGATTAACAAAAACAAAGAAACTGAAAATATGCATTTTCTTAAAAAGACAGGTCAAAATTCTTTTCACAGGTTCGCCAATTAAGCACTCATTACTATGCTACTTATTAATAGTAGCTCACATTTCGGCGGATTTCACCTTCACTTGAATCTGGGAAGGTCAAATTAGCTGCACCTGTCAGCTTAATACCTTAATAGCCTCGAACTTAGTTATCGTAGTTATTCTGTGGAGGTTATGAAGGTATTTCACTGACTACCCTCTGGTCATTCCCATGACCGACTTTCTGTTAACCTCGGCCAGACACGAGGTTGTTATTATAGAAATTATTACGATACAATAGCTGACGTTTCGGCGGCTTCGCCTTCTTCAAAGGCGTTTATTTATTGTAAGTATTTAAGTTAGTTGGTGGATAGTAGCCGCACAGAGTGATACATGGGCGATAACTCTTATTAGATTCTATAATAACAACCTCGTGTCTGCTTAATGAAGAAAAACATCGAATTACGCTGTGGTCAATTTGAACTTTCCAGGTTCTGAAGAAGGCAAAACCCGCTGTAAAGCTAACTACTATTAATAAATAGTGTAACAATAACCTCATGTTATACCTTTTTATTTTCTGCCTACTATAATTTCGCGGCAGGGTACTAAGCGAAATACAACCACAACGTTGCTGAGATATTTGCAAAACTCTGGACCGCAGGAATAGAAATAGCTGAGAGACAGGCGAAACAAAGAACCCGCATGGTGTGGTGGTGAACGCGTTACTCCCCGGAAAGGACAATAGCGCGTTCGTTCCCCACCATAGACACCTGCGGTCCAGTGTTTTGCAAATATCTCAATAACCTCATGTTTGCTTACTAAGGAAGCAGCGAATTATGTAAACATAATCTTAACTCTTTTATTTACTGCCTTTTTCTTCTTAATGGCAGGGTATGTTGTGAAATATAACTCGTATGAAGTGCTGAGATATTTGCAAAACTCCGGACCACGGGTGTATGCAGTGGGGAACGAACACGCGCTGTTGTCCTTACCGGCCATTAAGAAGAAAAAGGCAGTAAATAAAAGAGTTAAAATGGTGATTATAACGAGGCCTCAGCTTAACTGGGTTCAATGCCGATATTGGCTCCCCAGATCAATCCCGTTGACGGGTGATTGCTGATGGCAAAAAGATCGATAGAACTAGCTGAGATACATGCAAAGCGAAGGACCCGGATGGTGTAGTGGTGAAGTGCGTTGCTCCCCGGTAAGGACAACAGCACGTGTTCGTTCCCCACTGCATACACCTGTGGTCGGGAGTTTTGCAAATATCTCAGCACTTCATATGAGTTATGTAAACACAGTTTTCAAACCGACCGTCATTAAACCTCGATAGTATCAATACCTCAATACCTTCTTGAAATATTAAGCGAATACTAGACTAATAAAAAAAGGATTGAGCTCTCGGCGTTGATCAATCCGCGAGGGATACGCCATGCATTCGACTTCATTAAGTATCATTGAAGGTGATTGGACCCATATCTGGCCTTTACAATGACTCGCGGTGACCTACCGACGTATCGAGCCAGTGCTCCTCCTATCCTCCCAGAGAAGCCTGGTACCAATTTGCCGACCCCGGAGGGATGGAAGGCCTGATGGGCTATGGGCGCGGGGATCGATTCCACGTGCCTGTCGCAGTGGCACCTAATTAATCAATCTACGAGCTGGTAGCGCAGTTTAAGTGACGCCGTTCGTCACGTGCACTATGTTGTGCAACCTCACACCGGACTTAGAAGGCCTCTCATCCTTCCCGGTTTAGGAAATTGGTGCCGTACTTGTCTGGAAACAGTTCGCTCTCTGTAACCGAAGTAGGGACGCTTTGATCTCGCTATCTCAGGATTCCAAAGACAATCGACGCGACCAGCACTAGACAACATTCATGATGAAAGGAAAATCCTCAAGCAAGAGCTGAATAATCCATACGCGCAAAGACGGAAGACCTTCATGGATGATGGATGTGACGAAACGAATCGAATGCAAGTGTTGGGATTTCCACACTGGATTCGTTGACAGGTCATATAAAATAAGATAATAGAAAGGATAGGACTCAATGTGTTGTTTCATTGATAAACTAAAACGGTATGTTTATACCAATAATAAAAAACACATTATTTTTAGCAAACTTTTCTAAAAATAATAATTCATGTTGAGATTAAATGAATGACAGTGGACAAAAGAATGCTTGGCCATGTGCCATGTTCATCGAATAGCGACTACAACATGATGGATAGTCTCCATAAGAACAAATTGTCAGTGTACAATTCGTCGAGAACCACCCAGGACAAAGGAGAGCTCCAGAGTGGTGTTTCTTCATTAGTACGGTACTCCACTCTCCCAGAAACAACATGATGCCAGCAGGATGGTCCACATATGAAGAAAAAACGTTGTGGGCAATCGACTCGAACTATCACGGCTCTGAAGAAGGCCGTTGCGCTGAAATGTCAGCCAAATAAAAATGAATGACAACATCCTGCTGGCTTATCAATGAAAAAAGAACCACCGATAATGTTAGTTTTTCTTTTCTGTTAGACAGCTTTTCTTTACTGCATGAGCTACCGCATACTATTCGTTTATTGATCGCTTTAAAACTCTAAAGTCTCCATTAAAAGGGAGCGTATGGCGCAGTGGTCGGAGGCGCCCCGCAGCACACAGGTGGAATCGATCCCCGCGTCCATGGCCCACCAAACCTTTCATCTCTCCGGGGTCGGTAAATTAGTACCAGACTTGTCTGGGAGGATAGCAGAGCTAGCGTAACTGTCTCGACACATCGGTAGGCCACCGTTAGTCATTGTTAAGATCAGACATGATTTCAATCACCTCCAAACGATGCTTAATGAAGTCGAGTGCATGGCGCATTCCTAAGGGATTGATATTGATCAACGCCGAGAGCCTTATCCTTTTTCAAAGTCTCAACAAATTATTCTCATTCATGAAAGTGACTAATGCTGAAGTTATCACTGCTGGCGACAAAAACTTGCAACCGTACTGAAATAATAGAGGCTAACAAGCGGCTAACCAGCGGTTTTTTCTTGTACGAGCGACTTGTTTCTCACACGCATAAGCCCTTTATATTGCGAGTTTTCTTCGAATATCCACCTCTTGCACCCACATTCTCTTAAAACCGACTTTCATTAAATCTCGGAAAAAATAAAGGATAAAGGATAGAGCTCGCGGCGTTGATCAGTCCCTAAGGGATGCGCCACGCATTCGACTTCATTAAGTATCGTTGGAAGTGATTGAGTGCATATCTGGTCTTTACAATGACTCGGGGTGGCCTGCCGATGTATTGAGCCAGTGCTGCTACCCTCCCATACAAGTCTGGTGTCAATTTGCCGACCCCGGAGAGATGGAAGGCTTGGTGGGCCATGGGCGCTGAAATCGATTCCTCGTGTGTGTCGCAGTGGCGCCTCGAACCACTGCGCCACACGCGTCCTGGCAAAAGTATTCAATAATAATTTCCCTGTATAAGAAGGAGGCGTCGACTGAGATCCCTCAATCGATTGGTGTATTCTTCACTTCGCTTTATTGGGTTCTATGTGACGATCACGAAGAGCCACATCAAACGAAGGAAAAACTGTGGACAATCGCCTCGGACCAGTTCAGTTGTGACCTCGTTTTTGCCTACTAATCGAAAAGGTATTACAGCCACGATTCGCCTTAGGCAGTTGTCAAACTACTTCAGTCGTCTATCACCACGAAGGTGGTTGGAGAACTTCACGCGAACTTGCGGCTTCTTCAAGTGAGAATTTTTACGGATTCAATCGATGATTGACATACTCCGTTGCTTTTACGAAGAAGAGATTATTCGGAAATTCTTCAAGACCTGTATATAACACCTCTGATTC